ACACAGACTACAGATTGCTGATCAACTTGAAGTAATTTCTTCCTGACATTTTTGGTCACTGTAACCAAAAAAGATTTCTCTAGCTTTTGTTTTTCCATCTCCTACAGAATCTGCTGAGGAGTTAGAAAATAAAATAACAACCAATCTCCAGATCATTGCCCCTTCTATCTCCTGAATCCCTTTATTTACTCTCTGCACTAAATGTAGTAAGGAAGAAATATTTGTATTTAAGTTCTGCTACACTATCGTTATTTCATCTTGTTTCTTTCTCCATAGCTAATATTCTCCAGATGTCCAACTACCCACCACCCTAAACTGAAAAGGCAGAGGGTGAGGAAGCCACATTCAGTTCTAGGCAGCTATAAGAAATGGGTCCTGCAGAGAACTATTCTTTTTTTTTGGGGAAAAAAAAAGAAAAGAAAAGAAAAGGAAAAAGTAGAGATCTCGTTATGTTGCCCAGGTACATCTCGAACTCCTGGCCTCAAGAAATCCTCCTGCCTCAGCCTCCCAAAGTGGCAGGAATACAGAAGTGAGCCACTGAGCCATGCCTATATTTTCTTTTTGAAAAGCTGGCCAGGCTCAATGGCTCACATCTGTAATCCTAGCACTTTGGAAGACCAAGGCAGGTGGACTGCTTGACGCCAGGAGTCTGAGAACAGCCTGGGCAACATAGTGAGACCCTGTCTCAACAAAAATAAAAGTAACTGGCAGGGCATGGCAGTCCCTGTAGTACCAGCTATCAGGAGGCTGAGATAGGAGGATCACTTCAGCCTGGGTGATCAAGGCTGCAAGTGAGCTATGATTGTGCTACTGCACTCCAGCCTGGGTGACAGAAAGAGATTCTGTCTCAAAAACAGAAGTTAACTTAAAATGTTTTGGCTTTGAATAGTTTATGCTAATTCTGAAGACTGGGGTGAAAGGCAATTCGATCCAAATTTCTTCCCATAAACCACCATGGGTCAGGCTTTCAGAAGACAGCTGTAGTAGTAATGTCACCACCTGCCTGCACATTCTGAACCAGATTCATCCATAAAAAGGCTGATGTCATTTGCAAGCAGGGTTCCAGTCATCCAACCTCACGAAAATTTCCTTACACCTTAAATCCTAATTCTTAAATATCCCAAGTCTTAGAGGTTTTAGAAGAAATAAGAAATATAATAAATATAATTAACTCTACAAGATAATTTTAGGACTACAGTGAAAGGGCAACTGCTGGTGTGGGTGTGCCATGAGAGTTGGGTACTTTTTTTTGGTAGAGATGGGGGCCTATGTTGCTAGGGCTGGTCGGAATGATTACAAGTGTGAACCATCATACCCAGCCTTAAATGGGTATGTTACCCTAAACCTCAGTTAACTTATTTTTTTGAGACGGAGTCTCATTCTCTCGCCAGGCTGGAGTGCAGTGGCGTGATCTCAGCTCACTGTAACCTCCGGCTCCAATTCAGGCAATTCTCCTGCCTCAGCCTAATGAGTAGCTGGGATTGCAGACAGACACAACCACGCCCAGCTAATTTTTGTATTTTTTTTTTTTTTTAAACCTAGTACCTAACTATGTATCTGGAGGGAAATTTTGTATTTTTAGTAGAGACAGATTTCACCATGTTGACCAGGCTGGGCTCAAACTCCTGACCTCATGATCTGCCCATCTCGGCCTCCCAAAGTGTTGGGATTACAGGCGTGAGCCACCACGCCTGGCTCCAGATTTTTTAATTTATTAAACATTTAAAGCTCCCTCATTTGTCAAACACTAATATAAGTACTTTACAAATATCAATATAGGTGGGCTCATTTAAAATAAGGAAATACTTGGGTGTGGTGGCTGTAATCCCAGCACTTTGGGAGGCCTAGGCAAGCGGATCACGAGGTCAGGAGTTCCAGACCAGCCTAACATGGTGAAACCCTGTCTCTACTAAAAATACAGAAATTAGCCAGGCACGGAGGTGAGTGCCTGTTATCCCAGCTACTCGGGAGGCTGAGGCAGAAGAATCACTTGAACCTGAGAGGTGGAGGCTGCAGTGAGTGGAAATCGCGCCACTGCACTCCAGCCTGAATGACAGAGTGAGACTCTGTCTCACAAAAGAAAAAAAAAAAGTAAAGAAAAAGGAAATAAGCCCAGGCATGGTAGCTTACACCTACAGTCCCAGCACTTGAGAGGCTAAGGTGGGCAGATCACTTGAGGTCAGGAGTTTACAACCAGCCTGGGCAACATGGTGAAATCCCTACTCTACTAAAAACAAAAATTACCCACGAATGGTGGCACATACCTGTGGTCCCAGTTATTTGGGTGGGTGAGGCAGGAGAATCACCTGAACCCAGGAGGCAGAGGTTACAGTGAGGTAAGATCATGCCACTGCACTCTAGCATAGGCAACAGAGCAAGACTGTCTCACTGCACTCTAGCATAGGCAACAGAGCAAGACTCTGTCTCAAGATAAAAATAAAAATGAGGAAATAAAATATCATTTAATGAAAGTTTAAAATTTGAATTGCTCCTTCACATCAAAATAAAAGCTCCACAAGCATAGGGATTTTTGTTTTGTTCACTTCTATATAAACCCAGTTTCTAAAAGAAATTTAGATTATAACCAGAATAGTGCCACATTCCCAAGCAGTTGTCAATGAGCCTTAATTTTTCTCCATAGCATTTACCGGGCATACTCTAAATTTATATCTTATGTGCATAGTAGAAAGTAGGTTACATGAAGTAAATTCATACACTACAGTATTCTGTCAACCAATGAGGGTTGTCTGTCATCCCTCCTCTCCATAGCAAAATATAAACCTTGGTGGCAAGGATTTTATCTCTTTATAGCTAGGTTTCTAGATCTTTTAAAAGGTACTTAATAATTTACCTTGTTGTTTCTGGTTCTCATTCCAAATATTGTAAGTAAACCACATTGACACAACAATCTAAAAGTGTCAAGAGGCTGGGTACAGTGGCTCATACCTGTAATCCCAGCACTTTGGGAGGCCGAGTCAAGAGGATCACTTGAGTCCAGGAGGAGCCTGAGATTAGCCTGAGCAACATAGTGAGACTCCGTCCCCACAAAAAATAAAAAATCAGCCAGGCATGATGGTGCATGCCTTCAATTCCAGCTACTCAGGAGGCTTAGGCGAGAGGATTTTTAAGCCTGGCAGGTTGAGGCTGCAGTGAGCCATGATTAGGCTAGTGCACTCCAGCGTGGGTGACTAAGCAAGATCTGTCTTAAAAAAAAACAAAAAAAGTGGTGGGGGTGGGGGACAGAAAGGGAGACTCTACAAAGCACTAATGCTAAAACCTAATCCTAACTTGTCAATATTCTTGTAGCAAAAAAACATTTAAGGCTTTTGAATTCCTACATGTGACCTCAGTCCCCTCAACACAAGTTTGTCAATTTGTCTTCAATTCACACTTGCATTCTGTCACCGTCAAGGTTCTCTCTTTTCTTTAAATAGAGATGGGGTCAAAGTTGCCTGGTTGCTCCCTAACTCTTGTGCTCAAGTGATCCTCCTGCCTCGGCCTCCCAAAGTGCTGGGATTATAGACATGAGCCACTGCACCCAAGATTCTCGGGAACGCTTAAGTCCTAATGTCTGCTCAAATTATTCCTCTTACAGAGAAAGTTTTCTCTTGACTCCTTGTGAAAATCATATCTATCTCCAATTCCATCTTCCAAGTGAAGCCATCTCTAATTCAACAAAAAGTAACTACATGCCAAGCACTGGCAACCACAGTGTGATTCAATTTAAAAAAAAAAAAAAAAAGATGAAATACGGGGGAAAAAAAAAAAAAAGGAGGAATAAACACTAAAGTACGTGTAATTATGTCTTATTTGTCTACATAGGGTACACATTTAAAAGTGTCTTTGAGAGAATCTCACTCTGTTGCCCAGGCTGGAGTGCAACAGCATGATCTTAGCTTACTGCAATCTCCTCTCGGGTTCAAGTGATTCTCCTGCCTCAGCCTCCTGAGTAGCTGGGACTACAGGCTCAAACACCATGCTCAGCTAATTTTTATGTTTTTATCAGAGACAGGGTTTCAACATGTTGGTCAGGATGGTCTCGATCTCCTGACTTCATGATCCGCCTGCCTCAACCTCCCAAACTGCTGGGATTACAGGTGAGAGTCACCACGCCTGGCCAGTTTAAAATATTTTAAATAATATACTTAGCATTCTCTAGTTAATAAAGCTAACAGAAGTCTCTGGCCAAGATCTGGTTTCATTGAAACATCCAGACTATTGAGGTTTCACATAAACAAATGTACCTTAATTTCCATCAATAAAGAAAAAAAACAGTAATACATTTCTCAGAATAAACATATCTCCTGATAACCAGGGACATTCAAAGCAATAGGAACAAATGAAGTCTCCATCTGAAGACAGTGTAATGCCAGCTATCTCCAAACTGGTTTTTTTTTTTTTTGAGACAGAGTCTCACTCTGTCACCTAGGCTGGAGTAAGTGGCATGATCTCGGCTCACTGCAACCTCCGCCTCATGGGTTCAAGTGATTCTCCTGCCTCAGCCTCTCAAGTAGCTGGGACTACAGGCATGCACCACCACACCAGGCTAATTTTTGTATTTTTAGTAGAGATGGGGATTTACCATATTGGCCAGGCTGGTCTTAAACTCCTGACCTCATGATCCACCCACCTCGGCCTCTCCAAGTGCTGGGATTACAGGCATGAGCCACCGTGCCTGACCTCCAAACTGTATTTTTATAATGATGCTACTACAAGGCTAAACTGGACTTGGAAATGAGATTAAAAACATTCCAATGCTTGTGCCAGAGAGAAACGGCATTAGCCAGCGATCACTTGGAAATATGAAGTTATACAACATCAGTTGTAAAATACATGTTTTACTTAAATTTAATGTATGCACTTCTTAAAACTTAAGATAGCACAGTAAATTCCTGGCATGTAATATGTGGAAACTGCTTCACTATGTAAGGCAAACCCTCCCTCCATCATGGGAATACTCATGTGTGCCAAATGTGCACACAAATCAAAACTGTGCTTACCTTAAGAGGCTGCGGGCCTCTCAATCCTGTTTGTCCTCCCATCTGGGGAGAGCCCTGCTGAAGAGGCTCAGTCAGTAAGTTGCCAGCACTTCCCATGCTTGGGTTTGGGTACTGCATACTCTGTCGCCCTCGGCCTGCTCCAATTGAACCGTTCATGACTTGATTAGGCATTATCCCTTGTCCATTGCCTGCAGCCAACATTCCAGGATTCATGCCAGCATTCATCCCTGTGTTCATTCCCATGGCAGGCTGATTTACTGGACTGTTCATCATACCTGTTGACTGCGTAGGACCCTGATTTGGTCCACTAGTGCCCATTCCCATGTTGGGAGAAGTCAAGCCTGCCTGTGTCATTGGGCTTTTGACCATGCTATTTATCAAACCTAATCCAGGACTGTTCTGTTGGGCCTGGCTGGCCATGACTTGACCTGGGCCACCAACTCCCATATTGAGGTTAGGCGAACTACCAGATCGCAGCAATTCTGATAGCTGTTTATGTTTAGAAGCTGCATCTTGTACTATGCCAAGACTTGTCTGAAGCTGATTAATATCACCACCATTGGTTAGTCCCAACTCTGTAGAGTTGATTAATTCATCTGGTAAGTCGTGCTCCAAGTCAAAGAGAGAACCAAAATCTAAAAAGCAAAGGGAAAAGATAAAGGTCAAAGAATGACAAAACCAAAATAAAAAACTGCTCTATATTTTATTTCTTCATAAGCATTAAACATCATTTCCAAACCTCACTCCACATTTTTCTTTCTATTTATTTGAGACAGGGTTTTGATCTGTTGCCTAGGCTGGAATGTAGTGGCAGGTATCTTGGCTCATTGTAACCTCCATCCACAGATTTAAGTGATTCTCCCATCTCAGCCTCCCAAATAGCTATGACTACAGGTGTGTGCCACCACACATGGCTAAATTTTGTATTTTTAGTAGAGGCGCGGTTTGCCATGCTGACCTGGCTAGGCTTGAACTCCTGAGTTAAGCTATCTACCCATGCTGGCCCTCCAAAGTGCTGGAATTACAGGCTTGAGACACCACATGCACCCTTATATATTATTCATATTGTAGTTTTTTAGTTCATACTAAAACAATTTTATGTTACAGATTATTTAAATTGAGGAAATATTTGGTTATATCAACAGACTTAAACACTTAAGAACTATACCTAAAGTAAGACTGAAGGAAAGAAGAATTAAAAGTACAACCCCCCCACCCCATCAATGGATAAAGAAAATGTGGCACATATACACCATGGAATATTATGCAGCCATAAAAAAAAATGAGTTTATGTCCTTTGCAGGGACATGGATGAAGCTGGAAACCATCATTCTCGGCAAACTAACACAAGAACGGACAACCAAATACTGCATGTTCTCATAAGAGATTACAAGTTTTTTGGTTGGGCATGTTCTCACTCATAAGTGGGAGTTGAATAGTGAGAACACATGGGACACAGCGAAGGGTACATCACACACCAGAGCCTGTGGGAGAGTAGGGGGCTAGTGGAGGACAGCATTAGGAGACATAGCTAATGTAGATGACACATTGATGGGTGCAGCAAACCGCCATGGCACGTGTATACCTAGGTAACAAACCTGCATATTCTGCACATGGATCCCAGAACTTAAAGTATAATAAAAAAAGAAAAAAACCCAACATTCTAAATAATGTTACAGAATTAACATAGTAGTTGAAATGAAATTTTATTTTTAGTAAAAGAAAAATAATAATAAGTAGAACACCAATTATTACATGAGTTGCTAAAAGTTTATATTCACAGTCATGGAAAAAAGTAATGAAATTAAGCTGTATTAATATTCCCAAGTTCCTTAGAAGAACAGTCATAATAACTTGTCTATACACAAACTAAATTCAGGAAGGAAAGGAAAGATTTTAAATATTCTAATACATAAAGACAGACAACTGATACAAAAGACCTGTCATTTGTGGAACATTCAGTGTGTGCTCCAGTTAAGCAGAAGCTATTCATTATTTTTACCAAGTTCCTGTAAAGGGCGTCAAAGTAGGCCCTCAACAGGCTGAGTAAATTTACTTTCAACTTGAACTACAGAATACTTTTCCTTAAGCAAAACATAGCAGAACAGGGTAGAAAACCATGCCTCTGGCTCCTTCACCATACAAACCACCCCTATCAAATACAGAGTGCAAGACCAGCCCTGGTGGCTCACACCTGTAATCTAAGTACTTTGGGAGGCCAAGGCAGCAGAAATGCTTGAGCCCAGGCCAACACAGCAAGACTCTGTCTCTACAAATAATAAAGTCAGTTGAGTGTGGTAGTACTTGGCTATAGTCCTAGCTACTCAGGAGGCTAAGGTGGGAGAATTACTTGAGTCCAGGAATTTAAGGTTGTAGTGAGCTCTACTGCACAACTGCACTCCAGCCTGGGTGAAAGAACAAGATCCTGTCTCAAAAAAGAAGAAACAAACAAAACCGGTGATTATAAATTAATGCAGGGATAATCAACCTTGGCAATGTTAACATTTTGAGCTGTATAATTTTCTTTGCTGTAAGTGGAAGGAGATTGTCTTGTGCCCTCTAATACCATCAAGAGTCTCCTGGTCCTTATATATGCTAGTGGCACCCATTCCCCAATTGTGACAACCAAAAATGTCTCCAGACATCATCAAACATCCCCTGGGGAAACAAAATTACTCCTGATTGACCTATTGACAGTATTAACCTATTATAGAAATTATTTAAGTTTTCTTTCCTTTTAATTCTCTAAAGTAGTTTTCACATTAAACTGGGTGCTGGCACAGTGGTACACACCTATAGTCCCAGCTACTCAGAAGGCTGGGGCAAGAGGATAGCTTGAGCCCAGGAATTCATATCAAGTCTGGGCAACATAGTGAGATCCTGTCTACTAACAATAACAAAAAATCCACAGCTGTTATCGTCTTAAAAAATAATATAACCTGGCCTGGTACAGTGGCTCACCTATAATCCCAGCACTTTGGAAGGCCGAGGCAGGCGGATCACTTGAGACAGTTCAAGACCAGCCTGGCCAACTGGTGAAACCCTATCTGTACTAAAAATACAAAAAAAATTAGCTGGGCATGGTGGCATGTGCCTGTAATCCTAGCTATTCAGGAGGCTGAGGCAGGAGAATCGCTTGAACCTGCGAGGTGGAGGTTGCAGTGAACCGAGACTGCGCCACTGCACTCCATCCAGCCTGGGCGACAGAGTGAGACGCTGTATCAAAAAAAAAAAAAAAAAAAAAAATTGACAAAGCAATACTATTATCAACTTTGTACAAAAAAAAATTAAAATATACAAAATAAATACATTCCAGAGAAAATACTTAAACCTTAATAAAAAAATCATATAGGATGGAATGTCCCAGTTTGTCCAACAATTCCATAGCCTAAATTGGTTTGGGGGGGGCGGTGGGGATCCTGATTCAAACAACCCAACTATAAAAACACATTTTGAGGCCGGGTGCGGTAGCTCATGCCTGTAATCCCAGCACTTTGGGAGGCGGGTGGATCACAAGGTCAAGACATCTTGACCATCCTGGTCAACATGGTGAAACCCCATCTCTACTAAAAATACAAAAAATAAGCTGGGCATGGTGGCACGTGCCTGTAATCCCAACTACTCAGGAGGCTGAGGCAGGAGAATTGCCTGGATTCAGGAGGCGGAGGTTGCGGTGAGCCGAGATCGTGCCATTGCACTCCAGCCTGGGTAACAAGAGCCAAACTCCGTCTCAAAAAAAAAAAAACACATTTTGAAATGAGAGTAAGGGATCTTTAAATACAGACTGAGTAATGGGTGATATTAAAAAATTATTAACTTTATTGACTACAACAATGGCAAAATTTTTAAATAAATCCTTTTTACTGAGTGATGTACCTAAAATATTTCTGGTGAAACGACATGGTTAGGACTTGCTTTAAAATACTCCAGGGAAAAAAAAAAAAAAAAGGGGGGTGTTGGTGGCATATACTAATAAACTTGAAGCTGGATAATAAGCACAACGTATTTCTTATTAAAATATATATATTTTTTAATATATATTTCATTAAACTAAAATTTCCCATTTAAAAAAGTTTAAAAGAAAACAACATGGGAAGTCAGACTACTGTAATCCTACTACTACTAAAGAACATTAATCCTTGCTTTATTTTTCCATAAAAAAAGCATCATTATCTGAATTGTTTACAGGCATGTCCTACACCAAACTTTCAAGGAAAAGATAATTCAAGCTTATGAAAATACTTCTAAAAACTACAAGTAGCATTTTAAAAATGACAAAAGGCCAATATAAGAACAGGTCAATCTTCTTTACGGACACAGAAACAAGACTCTTTAAAAGAGAAAACCAAATTCATGTCTTAAAAATCATCATTCGCTGGGTGTGGTGGCTCACGCCTGTAATCCCAGCACTTTGGGAGGCTGAGGCAGGCAGATCACGAGGTCAGGGGTTCGAGACCAGCCTGGCCAACATGGTGAAACCCCATCTCTACTAAAAATACAAAAATTAGCCATGCGTGGTGGTGGGCACCTGTAATCCCAGCTACTTAGGAGGCTGAGGCAGGAGAATCGCTTGAAACCAGAAGGTGAAGGTGGCAGTGAGCCAAGACCACACCACTGTACTCCAGCCTGGGCAACACAATAAGACTCCATATTAAAAAAAAAAAAAAAAAAAAATCATCATCCAGTTGGGATAATCCCAGGAACCTAGGGGACATGAGAACATCAGTAACTGTCACTCGCCATAATAACAAAGGATAAAGAAAACATAAGATTCATTTTGACTCTAAGAAAAGCACTGGATAAAATTCAATACCCAATCACAATATAACAACAAAACTTTCAGCCATCTAGAAACTGAAGGAAGCTTTATACTCATGAAGTTTCCTCCAAAACCTAAACTAAGAGCAAATCTGCATAATGAACCAACATTAAAACATTAAAAGTAATCTCTTCAGTATCAGAACAAGAAAAAAACTTCTTACTACTATTTCTATTCAACATTGTACTGGAGTTATCTACTTAGCTAGAGCAACAGTATAAGACAGATTACAAGTTTTTTGGCTGGATGTGGTGGCTCACGCCACGCCTGTAAGCCCAGCACTCTGGGAGACCAAGGCAGGTAGGTAACAAGGTCAGGAAGTTTGAGATCAACCTGGCCAACATGGTGAAACCCCAACTCTACTAAAAATACAAAAATTAGCCGGGTGGGGTGGCGGGCCTCTGTAATCCTAGATACTTTAGAGGCTGAGGCAGAAGAATAGCTTGAACCTGAGAGGCAGAGGTTGCAGTGAGCCTCGACAGAGCGAGACAACAACTCAAAAAAAAAAAAAATTAGCTGTGTGGTGGCACACACCTGTAGTCCCAGCTACTTGGGAGGCTGAGGCAGGCAGGAGACTTGCTTGACCCTGGGAGGTAGAAGTTGTAGTGAACTGAGATCGCACCATCGCACTCCAGCCTGGGCAACAGGGTGAGACTCCTTTGCAAAAAAGAGCCGGGCACAGTGGCCCATACCAGTAATCTCGAAACTTTGGGAGGCCGACCAGCCTGGTCAAAATGGTGAAACCCCCTTTGTACTAAAAATACAAAATTAATTGGACATGTTGGCACATGCCTGTAATCCTAGCTACTCAGGAGG